ATAGTTCTCACTTGGTGGAGATGAGTTCAGAAGAACAGAGAAGCTGTCCTAGGCCATGACCTGCAGGAGAAGATAACTTGCCTTAATTCCCAGCTGTGACGAGACTGGAGTTCAGTGTCCAAATAAGACAACGTTACTACCAAGAAATGTCAAATTGACGAAGTGTCTGAGATCCCTAATTTCCACTTTTGTGTAGTTTTATCTATGACACCTGAATTCAGCAGAAAATATCCAAGACACTTTCCAACTTAAATGGTTGAGTTATACATCTTCCTTTAGGTTCCCACCCCCTTACTTTTAATGGAGGGAAGGAGGATTATAGGTTCAGAAGGAAGAGTTTTCTGAGAGTCCTGGGAATTGAGCAAGGGAGATAAATTGGCAGTTTGTAAAACGTTGTCTTCATGTGTGGTTTACCAAGTTATCAACATGCACACCAAATGTAGTAAGAAGAGCAGCTCAGCCGGGCGCAGTGGCTCACGCCTGTAATCCCAGCACTTTAGGAGGCTGAGGCAGGTGGATAATGAGGTCAAGAGATGGAGACCATCCTGGCCAACATGATGAAACCCCATCTCTACTAAAAATACAAAAATTAGCCTGGCGTGGTGGTTCATGCCTGTAGTCCCAGCTATTAGGGAGGCTGTGGCAGGAGAATCACTTGAACCCTGGAGGCGGAGGTTGCAGTGAGCCAAGATTGTGCCACTGTACTCCAATCTGCTGACAAAGTGAGACTGTATCTTAAAAAAAAAAAAAAAAAAAAAAAAAAAAGCAGTTCAAAACAGAAAGCAACACCTAAATTAAGCAAGAGAAGTAAACTGAAATGGCTTGAAAAGTCCAGGCAGGTAACAGGAACTTGTGACAGTAACTAAGAAAGCGTACATCTATACCATATTAAATGGTGCTAACTGCAATATCTGGAGCTCACAATTATCTCAAAGTCCTTGTTCATTTTTATGAATGTCTGGATGTCCTGTAGATCTGTGTTTATTTTCCATCTATTTTTTCATAGTTTTTAGCTATGTAAGTCATTTCCTTCCATTCTTAGTAATTTGATTGAAAATGAGGATTTTACATGAAATCTCATAGAGCTAATTTGAGTCTCTGGATGAGATATCTGGCAAGCTGTTATGGTCAAAACATAAGTTATTATTGAGCTGCTTCAAAGCAAAGCTTTGTGCTCTGTGAAGGCTGATCTTTGTGAAAGATGGCTACTATGGTCAAAATTTTGTGTCCTCCAAATTTCTTATGTTGAAATCCTAATTGCCAAGGTGATAGTATTACGAGGTGCGACCTTTGGGAGGAGATTAGAGGATGAGGGCAGAGCCCTCATGAAGTGTGTTAGTGTCCTTATAAAAGAACCCCTAAGGATCTCTACCCACTTCCACCATGTGAGGACACAGCAAAACAGCTATGAACCCGGAAGCATGCCCTCAGAGGACACTGCATCTGTCAGCGCCCTTTATCTTGCACTTCCCAGCATTTGTTGTTTATAAGCTACCCAGTCTGTGGTATTTTGTTATAGCAGCCTTAACAGACCAAGGCAATCACTCTTACTCTAAGGGTAGAGTCCTCCAGGAATACAAGTGGAAGCCTTGAGAGTATATGAGGCCCTCCCTTTTGGTAGTCCCTGGACTCTAGATTCTGATCCTATAGCCTTCTGAGACTGACAGTTTTGCTCATATTCTACCCATCTGAGTAACCCCCTTTAGAATGGGCAAGTGCTATGATGAGAGAAAGTGGTACCAAATGTCAGCTTAATTTTACTCCTTTCTTCTTTTGAGCTCTTGGCTCCTCAAGCCTTCTTGGTAGCTCTCTAATCCTTTTTGACAGACAATTTTAATTTTGTCTCGATTTTCTAGGTAGTCTCTTGGAGAGAGTTGGTCTGTAACAAGCTATCCCCACCTATGTAAATTTAAAATTTCTAAAGAAAAGCTTTCTTTGATTCTAGAGCCTTTAACTCTTACATTTCCATTATAATTTCATATTCAATGCCACTTAAAAAATACCTTTTATCTAAAGTATTTTAATGTAAAGTGTTTATCTTCTCTATTTAAGTGATAATATCTTTAAAGGTAAGATTTAAATTGTACATTTCTATATATCCCCTGAAATGTTGGATGATATCATTGGAATATTGGTGGTATGTTTCATAGATGTAAGGAAATGAGCATTGAAAAGATTAGTTTCCATTTGAAGTTCCAATTTGCTAAGTCCCTCAACCTCTCTTCCCCAGCATTTGCACTCTTATCAGTCTATGCTACACACATATTTACATGCACAATATGTATGAATAATCTACTGACAACACCAATTCATTATTTTATCTCTGAAGTATTTTACTAATACATAATAAACACAAGCATATGATATGTGTGCATCACAATCCTTTACAACAAATAATATGTCTGTGTCAACAAACATGCATTTGTATTTTCTCTATGCCTTGAGTTTCCGGTCAATGAGGACTTGGCATAGCACATTCTATTGAAAATCTCAGCCAAAGCTCTAAATGCCTCAGCCAGACTGCTCTTCCATTTTATCCAGTGTTGAAAATGTTCTGCAATAAGTGTTGTTTACTCAGCTTTGGCCTCTCTTTCTGCCATTTACTTTGTGTCTGGCAAACAATATTGACACTAACACATATGAAAAGCATGGGAGTAAAAATGTTGGACCTCTTTCAAAGGGAAATGAAAAGGAAATGCATCAGGTTGAATGTTAAAATGCAAGGTTTATCATGGCTTGAGTTGCCTTCTGGGAAACGTTAAAGAATGTTGGAGGGTAAAGACTAAAAGGTGATTTGGGATTTGTGGAAGTTTTCTGACAAACGAAAAGCATTATAAAATTACTGCAGCCTGCAATAATTGACCAAATATTTTATGGAAGATGTCTGGAAGAAACTAGAGCAGGAGACAGGTTATGATTTAATAGTATGTGAAGAGAAAGGAATAACAGTTGCTAAAGTCTAAAACGAGAGTGCACCTCTACAGAATCTATGCTTCACAGTCTTCTTTTTATTGCATTTTAGGTTTTGGGGTACATGTGCAGAACATGCAAGATAGTTGCATAGGTACACACATAGCAGTGTGTTTTGCTGCCTTCCTCCCCTTCACCCACATTTGGCATTTCTCCCCAGGCTATCCCTCCCCAGCTCCCCCCGCCGCTGTCCCTCCCCTATTCCCCCCAATAGACCCCATTATGTAGTACTCCCTTCCCTGTGTCCATGTGTTCTCATTTTTCCTCACCCGCCTATGAGTGAGAATATGTGGTATTTCATTTTCTGTTCTTGTGTCAGTTTGCTGAGAATGATGTTCTCCAGTCTCTTTAGCGCTCTGTAGCACTGATTCTCCTAGAGCTTCCATTTTCATTAATGCTTCTCCACAGGATCTGTGAGAACAGAGAATTCTCCCACACTCTCATAGGGTCTGCGTGTATGGAGACGTCCACCACAGAAAGGAAAACTTTAACCATGTCATCCATTAAAAAAAAAATGAGCACTTAAAATATATATGTATATTCTCAAATATCAAGACTTTTTAATTAATACAAACAACTTCAAGAAAAACACAGTATGATCTCATTTTTTAAAGCAAGATCTACATAGCTATTAAATATATTTAATATATATAAACATATTTATATTTACATCTCTATCTGTATCTTTATGCCTTGAAAAAGTTATTTGTCTATATTCTGTGAAAAGTTCTAGAAAGGTGTTATTATGGACTGAATGCTTGTGTCATCCCCAAATTCATATGTTGCAATCCTAACCCCTAAGAGAATGGTGTTATGGAGAAGAGGCTTGGAAGATGATGAGGTTGTAAGGATAGGGCTCACATGACTGGAATTAGTGCCCTTATAAAATAAATCCCAGAGAGCTCTCTCACCCTCTTTCCTCCATGGGAGGATGCAGCCAGAAACCAGTAGCCTGCAATGTGGAATACTGTTTTTGCCAGAACCTATCCATGCTGGCACCCTGATCTCAGGCTTCTGGCCTGCAGAACTATGAGAAATAAATGTTTATTGTTTAAGACATCTGTTCTAGTACTATTCTTCTATAGCAGCCCTAACTGCTAGGAAGTGAGTCGATGGGGTATCGTGGACAAGTAAAATAAGAAGGTATTTTTAGTTTATATGTATTGTTTGAATTTATTTTTAAAAGTTTATATTTAAATATAGAAGTATATAGAATAAAAAGTTCAGCATCTATTTTGGTTGATGTATCTATTTTGGTCTTAAGGAACTATTCAATATTAATTCACATCTTAATTAATCATCTACCATAGTATTAACTTAATTGTAAAATTCAAAAGTGAGATATTAATAATATCATTTTATTTGCAGCCATACATTAGACAACATATGACAAGTGGCAGGTTTATATTCAGAATATCAAGGATGTATCATTGCTAAGACTGGTGGTAGGAGATTAAGATCCTATTATCCAACAACTGCTCTTCTAACTCAATTTCTGAAGAACAAAGCAAATCCTTGTTACAAAAAAAAAAGTGAAAAGTGAAAAGAAAAATGAGGCTCAATTAAAGAGAACTCTTATTGTTTGTTTTCAAAGTACAGTTTTACACTAGAAAAGTAAGCACAAGCTCCATTGTCAATATATTTCCAAGTCTTTTATAGAATAATATTGCATTATGTAATATTAGTTAGCTAAGAAAATCTTTGTTTACCTGTAATAGTTAAAATTCCTTCCCCCAAACTTGACCTTGATGCATATTTTATATTTGTCTCTCCTTTTCTTTTTGGTCAAAATGTGGAGATGTGAGTAAATGTAATTTTTCTAAAATATTAAAAAGAGACAGAGAAAAGGATGATGTTTAAAATGCAGATATGAACTGTGGCAATGACCAAATGTCAATAGCTGGAGACGTGTACTACCTCCTGAGCATCATTACAAAAACAGAGCAGTATTATAAAAGACAGTGCAGTTATCTCAAGTCCCAACGAGACTAAGAGCAATGTAGGATATATCCTCAATCCCAAACTAAAGTAAACTAAAATAGGTATTTAAAACACTGAATATCGAAAGTTATTGTTTCATTTATTAAAATTTACTTTTTCAGGCTTGTTGATTCACTATTCACTGAGAGAATATTCACCTAGAAATATTGAGAGCTTTAAGGTCTCTCACTGGTCATTTCATTTCTGCATATCCCGCCCCCCAAAATCAGTATTCGCTGATTAACAATTATAACCAGAGACATAAAGTTGACTAACGGGAGTTCTTACAACTATTTTATTCAAAACCTATTTTCTCATTACAGTTTGTTTCTTCTCTTACTGTTCATCTATTTTAATGGAAGGCTTCAGCTTTTGTCTACTCAAATGACACTATCAGCTGCATCACCCTGGACAAGTTCCTTAACTTGTAAGCCTTAGCTTCTTTTTTGTTAGATAGAGATATTAATGGTATCTACTTCATAGGATAGCGATAAGTATTAATTTATATATATAAATTATATATACAGTTTAATTATAAACGGTCTGTAACTATATATACATGTATATACTCACACATGTGGGTCTGTAACTATATATAGATGTATATACCCACACATGCAGGTAGATAGAATGGTGCCTGGTCCATAATAAACATTAGATGAATGTTGTTGTTACTGTTATTCACATAAGGAATCCAAGAAAGATAACATCTTTGCTCTTAAGTCTCCTCTCTTTACTTGCTGTTATGTCCAATAGAAGGCATTACTGGGATCTGACTAAAATCTCAACATTGACAAGAGAAAATGTGATAATCCACAGATTCTGTAACTACCTTCTAAAATAGGTCAAATGGACTGAATTGCTTTAGTTAAATGTTCATTGCTTAAATGGTGCCTATCTCTAAATTCAGCACTATTTGGGGAAAAAAAATCATAGGCAAAAAATTTCCACGTTGTTTCTACCTACCAGTTTTTAAAGATTTCCTTTATAGACCTTTCAAACTCTATATTTTAAAGAAGATTTAAAAAATTAGACAAATTTTATATTTTTTGTCTAATTTTGAATCACTGAGAATCATTTTATTAAGGACACAGAAGAAAACTATGTCCCTGTGAAAAGAATACTGACCTAGTCACCCTCAGACTTTCTTCTCATTTGTAGTTTTTCAATCTTTTGACTTCAATTGCTTCCTAAAATGCTTACTCTCTTCACCTCAAGCTATTCCTAATCAGTGATTTAATTTGACTTTTTCAGAGTTCTATGCAAATAAAAACTATAGCTTGATAGGCAATTGCTCCCTCACCTCTATTAAACGCTGAGTTCTAAGAAGAAAATGAGGTTGCATGAAAATGGTCCCAAATACCTTATTAATAAACAAAATATATGTATTTTAAAACATATATTGTGGTAGTTTTTAAAAATTACTGATTAATTGTCATGCTATTTAAGGATGATGTTTTCCTGGAAGCACCATTTCTGATATTCATCTAATCACAGAATAAGTTAAAATAAGAAATTCTTTCAAATTCATAAAGTCATCTCCAGAGCAGATCCTCAAATGGCTGTCTGGAACAACTGAATGCACACACAGTCAAAGCCTTTGCAAATGGCATTGATCAAATATGTCACAAAGACAAAAGAATAAGGCTAAGATTACACAATTGTGTGTTTTTCTATCTGGAGAAAAGAGACAACAACAAGAAATAATTGACATCAGGAAAATTTTGCTTTCTCTCAGTAAAAAATATACTGAAGGTTCATAATTTTTAAAATTATTTAAAAATTAGATTTGTCAATAAATACAGTAAGTAGCAGAAAAAAACATAGGAAAAGGCAAAAGCAACCTTTATAGTGCACACTTATGTAGCTCTTTAAGTTACAGTATTTTTGTTTCCTTCTAGCTGGCATCAGGCTTCATTGAAACACCCAGAAACATTCAACTTAGTTTACAGAAAAATGATTAAAATTGTTCAAGTATTATTTAAAAGCTTTGAGTAAAAAACATAACAAAAGGAGTTAGGAACCTTAGGAAAATTTACTAATGAAAAAACAAATCCATGTGCTACCCACATCATAAAACATATCAGAATAATTGTGTGTGTATTAAAGAGATAATCAAATATTAAAAAATGAGAAAGTGACATATGAAGAATTCAGAATTTTCAAGTTACAAAATTATTCTACAATAGCAAACAAATGAAAAAAAAGTCAATAGGTTTAACTAATAAAAAATTAAATTATTGAAATACATAAAAAGCTAACATATTCCAGGGCAAACCAAGGAGAAAACTGGTCACCATAATTATGCTAATAGAATATAAACTCTTATAAATAAAAAAATAGATTAAAAAATTAAGCAAAATTGTCAATGAATAAATACTAGTAATATTTTAATAGCATATAGAATTTTGGCATGGAAATGGTATGACTGTTACTCTTAACATATTGTGATGATAGTGTAAATTTTCAGAGCCTTTCCATAAATCCAGCAGTTATATTAAATGTAAAAATTTTCAGAGCTTTTGACCCATAAATATTTTCTTTAGGAATTTACTTTAAAATAGAAACAAACAATATAAGTACCAAATTTTTATTACTTAATAATTCCAAAAATAAATACAAAGAACCTATATATTTATTAGAGAAATGTCTAAAGAAAATAAAGAACACACATACTATAAATACTATGCAACATCAATGGTACTGTCACAAAACCATTTAAAAAGTGTGAAAATGTGGCTGGATGTGGTGGCTCAGGCCTGTAATCCCAACACTTTGAGAGGCCGAGGTGGGCGGATCACCAGGTCAGAAGACCAGCCTAATATATATGGTGAAACCCTGTCTCTACCAAAAATACAAAACTTAGCCAGCTATCATGGCACATGCCTGTAATTCTAGCTATTCGGGTGGCTGAGGCAGGAGAATCGCTTGAACTTGGGAGGCAGAGGTTGCAGTGATCCCGGATCGTGCCACTGCACTCTAGCCTTGGAGACAAAGTGAGATTCCATCTCAAAAACAAACAAACGAAGTGTGAAAGTGCTCATTATATATTTTGAAGCAGGAAAGCAGGAAGACATTAGGAACTTTTTCTTCTTTTAAGCTTGTTACAATAAACATTCATTACATAAAATATTAAAGAAACAATTACTCAATTACCAATTACTCAATTATATATTTCACAGCCAATTGCAAAAATAAGAGAAATTTGAACAAGCTTTACTTTCTTTTAAATATATATGAACTTCACATTGTAGTACAACTTGATTTTTTAGAAGTATCTGAGGAGGGCAAAAGAGAGCTTGCATGATCCCATTGTGTTTGAGTTGCACCAACAGACAGAGAATGAGTAGCTTTATGTTACAGTCTTTTATATCACAGCAAGCAGAAACTATTGAATAACTACAGACCCACCAAACAAATAATCCTCAGACTGAATCCAGGGCTCACTAACTTACATAACTGCTGCTCACTCACAAAGAGGAACTTGAGATCTAATTGAGGTAATTTGGTATGTCAGAAAAAGAATTCAATCAGGAGGCAAAATTTCATGCTACTCCCTGTGTGAATTTTACCAGAGACTCAGAATGTAATCTTGTTTTAGTCCCTAGCAAACAGGGAAGAGAAAACTTCACCTGCTTAAAGAGAGTCCAAAAGTCTTGACATTTCCTCTAGCTACCTTATGGATTTATTGCAGCATCTGGGTTTCTTCATAAGTTTCTTATTAGGCTAGAACATTCACATCCAATATGCATCAACTGTTCAAAACACATTGTTATTAAAATGACAATAAGGTGAAATGAATGTCTTCATAAGGCAATACATATTTCATGGCTGGTGCCCTGTATAGTTTTTAAACTAATATTCATTTAATGGGCCTTCTGTTTGTTACAGCTTGACTAATCTATTTTTTATTTCCTATAGTTTGGGTCAGGCTCCTTCCTAATTGGCTTCTAGTCAATTTCACTGAAATGTAGGGTTTTTGTGGAGGTCTAGAAAATGTGTGTTATTAAACAGTCTGCTTATAAAAGTTCTAATCTGATATCTGTGGCAGACAATGTACCCTGGAGGGCTGCCATCTGGTTCATGTATTTTTAATAATTTCAAGATTGGGTTACTATAGTTTAGATCTACAGTGCTCTTTGTTTTATTTGGTCTGGAGTTAAAATGAGTTACCATAAAACCAGAATAAGCAATTCCATACAATTAAAAGTGGTATGGGGTGAAGATATCCAATTCACTTGTAATGGGAGCATGTTGTTAAAGACATCTACATTTCAAATGCAAGCTCAATTAGAAATCAACACAAAGTAACAAATACTTGCTTTTAATAATTTAACTAGTTGTGAAATTTTCCAATGTTAGGGTCGTTTTGACTGAAGAGTATTAATATTAATCATTATTTTAGAAAATGAGGGAAAGTCAACAAGCTTAAAGTGATATCTATGCTCCTCCAAATGAACTATGTGAGAAAATATTATTCATTCTAAATGATTATGCCAGGCACACAGTATGCTACTTTAATAATTAAAGGACATCCCAATTGACTTAGAGAATCAATATTGCTGGCAAAATGATTCACTCCCAGAGAGAAAACCAGAGTGGAAAATACAGAGTATCTTTTTTGTAATTTTTTTTTTCTGGCAGAAATACCAATTTTTATTTACATTTTAAATTTCCTCTCTTCTCTTTAATATCTTTTTAAATTCATCACCGGTGGTAACAAATGACACTTGGTGCTAGCATGTTTTGAAACTAGAAAAACATCTGACAAAATATGTTACTGAAATTGTTAGGCATGTCATAATTTGATGTATTACCAATTTAAAAATCATTGCACTTAGAAATTATAAATATTACTTTTAGTCTATTTCACAATGCCTTCTCAAGAAAGTTTAAACTATTCTATTGTCTTATTAGCAAACACAGAATAAAGGTAAAGAACAAAACTTTTTAAAAATTTCTTAACAGTGACTGAAGTTTATGTAATGTCTTCCAGTACACACACACACACATACACACACTTATATAACTGAAAAGACAATATGCTTCTGTTAGATTCTACTATATACTTTTATAAGTTAATATTCATTACTCTTTAATAGCTTATTATAAATAACCATTTAATATGGCATTCCATTGATGTTCCATAATCCATTTAGCTGTCATTTCATATATTGCTTTCTGTTTTCCACTCTTACTAATAACATATTTTTACAGAAATATTTATTCAACTTTCTAAATAGATTATTTGAATAAATCCTAAAAAGGAAAGCAATGGGTTCAAGGGGTTCTTGGTACATGTTGCTAAATTATTTTTATAAAGATTCTAACCATTTATACCTAGAAAGCATTATTACTATCATATTTAGAAATATATGTTACTTTGGTGCTTTAACAATGATACTGAATATAAGTTGGTATTACCTT